CGTGCACTTGAGATTCAAATGGACTGATTTCGCCCTGTTCAAAAGGGAAAGAGAGACATGGGCAGCATAGGCTTCGTTGACATCCAAGAGCTTACGATATCAAAGTACCATGATGCTCTACGCGAGAGGAGGACAACCTGCGCCGAGGTCGTGGTAGCATATCTCGATCGAATATCACGGTATGATAACCTGCTCAAGGCTCTAATAACCGTCAACAAGAATGCACTCGACATCGCCCGACAAAGAGACCAGGAAACAGAAGCACTCCTACAGCAACATGGGAAAGACCATGCCCTTCCGCCCCTTTATGGGGTCCCCGTCATCCTCAAAGACACCTACAGCACCATTGACATGCCCACAACATCCGGAGTAAAAGCCCTCCACTCCCTACGGACAAAAGCCGACGCCTTCGTCGTCACGAAGCTGCGTCGCGCTGGCGCTATTATCCTCGGGAAGGCCAATCTCCACGAACTTTCGCTGGAGGGCGTCACCATTTCTTCGCTAGGAGGTCAGACGCGGAACCCGTACGACCTGAGTCGGACACCCGGTGGCTCATCAGGTGGGACGGCTGCTGCTCTAGCAGCGAATCTGGCTCTTGTAGGCTGTGGCGGGGACACGATGAATTCGCTACGCTCGCCTGCGTCGGCGTGCTCGATCGTCGGATTTAGGCCGACAAGGGGACAGATTTCGCGGAGAGGAATCATCCCTGTCACTGAGACGCAGGATGTGGCTGGGCCGATGGCACGGACGGTGCAAGATATCCGAGTATTGTTCGATGTGATGAAGGGCGAAGACGAGGGCGATGAGGCTACTATCGATTGTCGACGTGACGCAACGAAGCGTGACTCTGCGGCATGTGGTGGCCGCAAAAGGATAGGCATTTTGAGATCGTTCTTCGCGGATGACGTTGACCCCGAAGGCTCAATTGTCAACCAGACAGTGCTGGACGCGCTGGATAAAGCCAGAGCCAACTCGCAGGTTGAACTCGTCACGCTCTCTCCCCAGAGTGCTCACTGGGACATTCCCACGCTCATTTCCACGGCGGACATGCAAGCGTACGAGTTCCGCAGTGTCTTCGACACCTTCCTACAATCGTCCTTGATTGCGTCCACGCCGCATGAATCACTAGCCTCTATCGTCGCCAGCGGCGAGTACCTCCGGGAAGCCGTAACACCTGTCCTCTATCGCACATTGCAGAGGAACGGTCTATATTCAATGCAAAGTCCAGAGTATGAGTCTCGCCTGGCGACAATTGCAGCATTGAAGAAGTCTGTAGAGAAGTGTTTCGAGGAACATCAACTGGACGCCCTCGTCTACCCGCATCAAAGGCAGCTGGTCGCTTCAATCGGGTCAATGGTCCAGCCACGGAGGAATGGTATTCTGGCAGCGTTGACAGGAAGGCCAGCAATATGTCTACCTGGTATGTGAATTATATGAAATATGTGCTGTGGAGGAGCCGCTAACCATGTCCAGCTGGGTTCAGTCCTCGCACCGAGTCGGCTCCTCTCGGTGTACCAATCGGCTTGGAGCTCATGGGCAAACCATGGCAAGACAATGACCTGATAGACATTGCAGAGCAGTTTGAGAGAGTCATCCAGGGTAGACGGCAACCAGATCTTCCCATCTAGCCATTCTATCGAGTATGCACACACACAATCAACATGGTATCAACACAAAGACAGCCATAACCTAAGACTTATAAACAAAAGCCACACACTTTGTCCCATCCTCGTCCACAAACTCCTCCACAGACTCAAACCCACACTTCGTCAAAACACGTATACTCGCCTCATTGCCCTTGTCCGTGATGGCAACCACCTCCCCACTCCCCTCCTGCTCCTGCTCCACATTCCCCCAATTAACCCTCCCATAGATCCCCGGCCACGCACCCATTAACCCCCTCACAGCCTCAGTCGCATACCCTTTCCCCCAGAAGTCCGGATGAAAGATATACCCCAGCTCCCAGCAATATCCCCTCAGTTCCTCAACAAGCCCATAGCGCAAGCCAATAGAAGCAACAATCCGTCCTGCTGCCTGCCTCTTAGTCTCCGCCCCCACACACATAGACATACACCCCCAACAAGACAAGTAACTGAAACTCACCCTTTCCATCTCCACCTCCACCCGCCCCAGAAGCCTCAGACTCAAACCTAATCTCCCGGAGCACATACCCCACATTCCCAGGCGTCCGCGGCTCCGGCCGCAGGTACCCCTCCACCCACTCCCTCGTCGTCGCGAGATCCGCATCAGGGACCTTTTTCAGACTACCTTGTTTCAGCATGACCGTCTTCTCAATGAGATGGCTGGGACAGATTGATATGCATACCTCCATTTCATGACCTCCTCTAACCCGCGGATGGCGTGGATGCCTGCCGCGTCGGCGTCGACCATCGGGTGGAATTGTAGGCGGGCGGTGCGGAAGGGTGGGGGGAATGAGTCTTCCATTTTTGTGGATTGAATTGTGGTTTAATTATTGTGAGAGGGTGGTTTAGATGTGGTTGGATAGAGGACATATATATCTTGTTGTGGGCAGTGATAGTGAGTCATCGGTTAGTTAATTTGTGGTCAGCGTGCAGGTGAGACAGTAGACGGATGGGGCTGAATACTTTACAGCGACAGCACACTATATGTAAAGAGCTCAAGGAACACGGAGTTATCGGCAAGCAGTGGTATATATGTAGATGGTCTATACGCTAAACAACATGATATCAATAATCCATGTGCATGCCACTGGACGAGGGCTTCTATATTCAGATTCCCGCCCCTGCCAAAAGGAAATGAAGAACCAACGCAATGCTGAGAGCGTCAAAATACGATGAGTCCCAAACCACCAAACTACATACCCCGGTTGAATTCGACTTGCCCGCCTTTGCCTCCTCGGCCCCAGAACTCCTCTTCCAGAGAATGGGCGCTGATTGCCTGCCGCTGAGGGAACGCTCCCAAGGCCAGCGGAAGAGCAAACAGCGACGTGGCCAGGATCAGGCCCAGGTTGATCGGCGTGACCATGCGCGGACGAGCTTTGAGCCAGGCCGTCTTCTCCAGCCTCACAAGGATCAGAGGCGGCACCACCATGATAGGCGTAGCGTTCAGTACCCGACTGATGGCTGTCTCCCCGACCGCAATTGTGGCGGCCTTCCTGCTCTTGCCCAGACTCTGGACCGGCTCACCGGTCTCCTCGCGCTTCTTCTTCTCCTCCTCCGAGAGGACAGGGTAGACATCAATGCCCTGGCGAATCTCCTCGCCACGCATCAGGAACACATTGAGCGCACTGGCGCTGGAAACCGCAGCAAAGGGCACCAGACGGCCGAGAATCAGTTTTGTGTTGGGAGAGATGTTCTTCAGCCGAGGAACCAGCGCATTGAGACCCAGGGCCACCGAGCACGACGCTGATACTGCCATCAAGTAGGACTTGGCCATCTGAGAGACCGACAGGGGAGTCGACTTGTTCGCGTTCGCATTGTTAATGGCGACATTGAGCGACTGGTTGGCAATCTGCCACAGAAGTGTTCCAGTAGTCTATACTGTCAGTGTCATGCCTCATCAATATCCGAAAGTCCAATGGTTCATACCTGCAACCCTGGCGTAAGCATGCCCGCCGTCACCACCAGGTTCGAAAGAACGTAAGCCGACATGCGGAAGGGAAGGAAAACCGGTTCGCCAGTGTCTTGACAAGCCAAAATTAGACACCCAACTTATATTAAGCAACCAAACATCGCAAACACACCTGGATGCAATGTAGAGTCCACCACCTTCTTCGCCCGCCATAACTCGGGAGTCATAACAGTCACGTGATTCTGCTTATAGGACGAGATAAGGCGCTTCGCTTGTTCTAGACCCGACGGGGATACGAACAACATCCTAGGATATATGTCAGTTGGAACTACAGCAAAGTCGAGACAGGCGGTCTCGCATGGAGCACCATGGAATGCTCACCTCGGATCGGAGATGTCTGCCGCATGGCGCACACGACCCCAGTAAGTTTTCAGATCATACTGCGACGCGGGAAGGTCCCGGTTGCCGGGAAGTGACGCAGACATGGATGCAAATCAAAGAAAGACAGTCAATACTAAGAACGACAGACTAAAAAAGAGAAAAAGAATGAAACAGGGCAGATGTTGAGCAGAAGGCGCTTGGGGAGGAGTCACCAACGGAAAGCGAAAATAATTGATCGGGGAACCACAAACGCTATCAACGGCGGTGAGCCGATAAGCGGGGGGTTCAGCCAATCATACTGCACCAATTGATATGGTTCCTTAGTTGTGTCACCGCCTTCCGGACAAATGTGGGACAAACAAATACCAACTATCTTAGGTATGGATAACTACATCGAGGTACAAGTCCAGATGTAAGGGGGTCATGAACATGATTGAACAGAAATGCTAGATACAGTAGTACATAGGTATCACTCAGTGGGGCAGACAAACCCCGACACATATTGAAGTAAATAGGAAATAAGTTATGACAGCAATCACGACTGGGATGCATCGACATCATGTCAGTACAGACTGGGTATGCAGGATTTGTGGAAAAGTGATGTCCTCCAGCGAAAACGGGGTATGTCTAGTGGTTCTGATAAAGCAACAGACAAAAGAGACATTAGGAATGATCCGAAAGGTCAAAACATTGAGTCTGGAGGAGCCTTTCAAAGAACAGAGGATGGCACTTGTTGACGCTAGTCATGACCAGTGACTTCGTATTCATGATGACATGATAGTAGAGAAAAAATAAAAGTCCGATCCAGTTGTAAAAGTGGAAACCGGAGGGATTACCGGAATCGGAAGGATTTATGGGCCAGAGGTGAAGTTGGCGCATGTTCGGTGACACTGCCTGGACCTCGAACCCGGTTCTTCCTAGTCGGTGTTTGGGCGCAGAATACGCAAACATACACAGACGGCAGATTTGACCGCTCAAGTCCGACACACTTGGTATGGAGCCAGTGATTGCACGATTCGCTGTGAAAGATAAGCAAAGATGACAGAAAAAACGAAGCTGATGTTCGCTTACCATTGGATCATGAGATGGCCACCATTGTCCATGGACTGGCAAACACATCTGGTGCCATTGCTTGGGTTGCTGTAGCGTTCAGTGGTCGGAGTCGCGAGGTCAGGGTCTGTCATGGTGGTTGGGGAAGTGTTAGGTGGCCGAGAATTCAGGTCCGCACCGAAGCGTGGGGGAGACGACCGTAGATGTGCAAAGGAAAGTGAGGATCTATTTGACCGTGACCCATAGCCGATTGTTTGGGACCGTGGAAGACGTCCTCTCCCCTCAAGAACTTTTCGAAGTGCGTGCTGGGCATCGCCAGAATCATCTTCATTCTCAGGAAGGAGTTCCGAGGGGGTCCCAACGCTAGGGTATGTCAGATCCGAGTTTATCAACATCGACTGCCGCTTGGGAGTCGTCCTATTCCACTCATCCGCAGCTGCTCGGTACACGGGTCGTCTTGCAGGGCCCCGAGATGCACTAGCCCAGGGTGACGCCCTGCCAGACTGGGATGATGCAGCAGTGGAGGTATAGGAACCTTTCGAATGGGGCCGGGAGCCGGCGTCACTGTGGGCCACAGTAGGTTCGCCGACGTCCGAAAATGCGAAGGACGAGTTGCGGGTAGGAACAATTGGGTACTCCGAAAGATCGGCAGAGTCGAATTCATTCTCAGTTGCGAATCGGTCAATCTCCATTCCATTCACAGGGTCCGTCAGGCCAGTGGATGCTTCAGCAACAGTCTGCATCTCGGTCTTTGCTCTACCATCCTTGCCTATTTTCAAAATGACCGACTGAGAGCGAGTGGGAATCCCAGAAGCAACCGTATTCGCTCTGGTGAGTTGTTGGCGGAGGGGTTTGATGGGGGAGGACCGTCCCTTGGACGGGCTTTTGCGAATGCCACTGCTGGAAGCCATCATCCCAGACGTAGATTGTCCCGATGCGGAACGCTGAGGGGGAGCATTTATAACAGTATGGGTCACACTGCGAGTGAGCCCCGGCCGGGATCTACGAGGAGTAAAATCATCATCGTCCTCCTCCTCATCGAAGCCAGAGAGGGAATGGTTAATGCTCTGCGCACGGCGAAGCTCTTCTCGCTTGAATTCCTCAGTCTGGTGGTGATATGGTTGTCTGGGTGGCTTAGAAAAGAGTCTCTTATCTGGACTCAGCTGGGGGCCACCGAAACGGCGGGCTGGTGAAGAGAGAAACAAAGCCGGATCTTCTGCCTTGGCTATAGGAAGACGGGGGGAAGTGGAGAAAGGAGCAGGGAACAGGGCTGCATCGGAAGGAGCAGCAGAGAGACTATACGTGGGACCGTGAACTTCGGGAAGGTCAAGGGTGGCGTCGATAGCTGGTAATTGCGGGATTCGAGCGTCCTGCAACGCTTGATTATGGTTCTGGTTGGTAGAAGTTGGAGCACTCGAGTCGAAGGGGTTGATGCTGTTCCCAGACAAGCTCAGGCTTCCTCCCTGCTGCTCGATATCATTGTCCCAAAACAACCTCTGCTGAGGAAAGAAAGGCGAGGCGGACGGATCAATCGCAGCCAGGTCGAAAGGGTCTGGAGAGGACTGGAGACCCGCAAAAAACCTGGGTGAAGCACCTAGCAAGCGGCTAGGGGTCTCAAGATGACCACCATGCGGAGTGTGCTTCCTGTTTGTGTCGATGACATTGTCCAACCCGGTTATTTTCCTCCTCGATGCACTGCTTGGAGGTGGAGTTTGCATTGATGCAGCAGACTTTGCAGAGTCTACGGTCCGAGGACCGTCCTCGGCTGAGCCACCATTAGGTTTTGAGGAACGTATCCTTTTGGCCGTGTCAGTCTCCTGTTCCAAGCCCTGCAAAGCATCCACCCCTCCAGTTCGACCGGGGACCGACTCTGGCAGTCGTAGGGGGTTTGAAGGCGTGCTCAAGCCGAATCGCTGGGGTGTTCGAAGGAACTCTGGACTTGACGCATAAGGATCTGATGTATCCCAGGTAACTCGAGGGTCGAAAAAACTAGATTCGAGCTTGGGGGTCTGAAAAGCGGAATCGCCGAACACTGTAGTTGTAGGAGTCCTCGTCGGGGTCTGAGGTTCACCGTTTGGGTAGCTGAAGCTAAACATGATCGAAGGCTCTGTCAGTATCATCTTCTCATGAAACCACTCTGGGACGGAGTCCATGGCATAGAGAGTCAGGCAGTTTCGCCGAGTAAGTTCGTACTGCATGTATCAAGGAGTGAAGAATGGGGAAAAAGACAAAGCTCGTAGTAAAACAGCGACTGACGAGTGGCACGCACAATGCGAATTCACCCCGCCAGTGCCGGGAGAGAAATCACAGTTTGTGAGGAGATAATGGTATGTGCATAGAAGACTTCGAGAGCCATACCTGTGGACAGGGTTATCCCAACTCATGTCAGCAACCCAGTGATCCCAGCAACCATTCAATTCGAGCTGCCAGGCAACCTAATCAGAGGTCGTCCAGATACCTCGGGTGCTGAGGAATGTCCGAAAAGAGAGGGGTTCGGTGGAAATTAATAATGAGCGGACGAGTAATGTGCACTTCAGTGTCATTGAAGCCAAGCAGGCAACCGAGCCGGACGACGGACGTAGAAAGAATGTGAGACCCCTCGTGAGCGAAACAAGGAGAAATTAGGACAAGCTGTACCGATTATCTAGTACATATCTTGTATTCTCAAAGAGTACATAACAGATTTAATAGCGAGGGAGAAGAGTGGAAAGGAAAAAGATATCGGAGCTATGACAGGACAAGGGAGGGCAGTCGAAGGGATCCAGAGGCTCGAGGGAAGGTTGGAGCTGCCCTGGAACAAAGGGAGAAGCGGAGGTATGTCTTTTGGTGTTGCTTGCCCTTTATCTATGTCTTGACCCTTTGACTCTTGGTCCAGAGGGTTGTAGAGAAAAGGAGGGAAACGAGGAGATTGGAGAGAGAGGAAGAGTGAGAAGAGAAAAAGCTTGGAGAATGAATATGAAAGAAATCCAAGAGGGGAGGAAATCGTGTGTTTTTCTTTTCCTCTGTTTGTAATAATTTAGACACTGTAATTTTTTTTATTTTTTCATCCGCAGATCCACCGCTACGCACTTCTTTTTTGCGATCACTTAACAGAAATATCCTTCTCTGGATCGGCTTGGGACTGGAAATAATGAACAATAAACTAATCAAGCCAAACAGAAGCTCCAGCCCGATTCTCCTCCACTTCGTGGATGGTGTCTTGTTCTACTTAGTGGAGAATATAGTTTTGGTGAGATAATCTCGGATATGGATGTATCTGGGTATGTGGATGATTGTGCTACAAGTTGGCAAGTTCTTGATCTGTCAACCCACCAAAGTCTCTATTTGTTCGTGTCTATTAAGATTGTGAAGCTGGTCAAGACTCAATTATCGTTGTTGAAGCTGTTTGCTGAGCCTGGTTGATGTGCAATTCCGACCGGGTCGCACATGCCCAAGGCACCAAGGCACCTCAGCCTTGTGGCTACAGAAACTACCGTGTCCAATCGTTCTTGAATGTAGGCATCATCATCACAACACTAACGTGCGGAGGGACATGAATAAAGAAGGTAGGTTATTTGCTAGCCCCCCGATATGACTTACTGCATCATCACTGCTCATGATATTGGTGTTTTTTATGATTATCACTTTCCGATACATGGACTCATACGAATTCCGAACTAGGAGTATAAAGCCTCCCTTATCCTTGGGGAAGAAGATACCGTTCGGTATTAGGACGCTCATGTGCAGCCAGAGTTGCATGTTATGAGTATAAGACGGCCTTCGCGCTGGTGTTCGTTGGTACGAGTTCGGGGAGCCCTCCTGCAGTGGTCATCTTTATGCCGAACTGGCAGATTCACAGTTGAAAGCCGCGCGATATATTCATTGTACGAACAGTCTAATTCCCCAAAAGAAGTCTTGATTGTCTGCAATTAGTCGCATGCTCGAGACTCGTGACAATCTTGTTTGCAACACGGAGTGACGTAGATGTTTGGCGCCTGTCAATCTCCCCCACGGTATATTTGAGTCGTTGAGCCTCCAGGATACTATCATGCACACTCTCCAGATGGCCAAAGACAACCAGAGATACCGAATTGACGGATCTGCGTTGCAAGTAAGGTCAAAAGCAATAACTTGAGAGCTGTCTCAAAATCGCTAAACCTCCGAGTCAATATAACCCTTTTTGGACTAGCGTCCTGTGAGGTCTCAAATTAAGGTTGAAACTCACGTGATATGAGGTCATCAACCTCTTATCATGGCATGTTCTTATCCTGGCCTGGAATGTAAAGGGGAATGTATTGTTTCGACTCTCATATGGCGTATAGAACAACTTACTGGCATGGTGAGATATCTCGCATAATCGCACAAGTCGCCTCTAATCACTAAGCGTGGTTATCGGGTCAGAATTCAAGGACAATTTCCGTCAGCTGTGCGAGGCAACAAGGGAACGCTATCCCTGATCTGGAACGCTATCGTATTGTGCCTTGCGGAGTACTCCGTCAACGATACAACCTTCCCACCAATTGGAGAACGGCTGTTATCCTTTGATTGCCCAACGTTCAGATGTAGAGAGGTACATGGATCCGATGAGCTGAGGAGAATCATCACTAAAAGATGACAGGCTCTCTGAGCTTTTAAAAGTTGATATTGTGGACATTCCTGGACTCCCATCCTTGTTAAGCCACGTCGTCAATGCAACCAAGGACAAGGAACGAGACACTTACTTCGTAGACAAGAAACCTTTGACAAGAGTGGGTCTCAGCTGTGCCCCACCTTCATCTCCATCCCGATCTCCAGTTGTCCTTTTTCACCTGCAGGGGCAATTCCCCTTCGGCTGAATCCATTGGACCGTTCGTCACGTCGGCATGAAGGTCTATTTCCGGCAGAGCTTCGCGATCATTACTGATTTAGACAATTATATGTGAGTGCTAACCAGGAGCCTTTGCCTTAGGAATACTGCATGCGTTGTCCCTCCCAGGCTTCCCCCTTACCATCCGGCTAGCAGATCGGACCAAATTCGGGGAAAGTCGAGATCGAGCCCTGTACTACGTTACCCAGTTGCGTTTAGCTGCTCGCCAGTGTGAGACTCCCTAAGGAGCTGGGCCGCTTATTAGTGACATTCCAATGGCCAGCCGGGTGAGGCTATCTTGGCTAGCTTTTTCTTTTCAGCTCCAGCCTCCAGCCTTGATCTCGCCCACAAGGCCGAAAAGTGGACACGGGACGTTGGCGTTGGCAATTGAGATGAAATGGATACAATGATGACATGGCCCCCTGACCAGATACCTAAAGTAATCCTACAATAATAACAGTTAAGCAGCGCATGTAGAATGGGGACAGTTAGTACGGAGTATATCCTCGATCTTTCGCAAGACTAGAGATCGTCCAGAGATCTCTATGAAGTACGGAATATATATAATTTCTGTACCCCGTACTCCATAATAATGGAGAAATCTCCGAGCTCGTCCCTGGAAGCCAGCTAACTTGTTCTTCCCGCTTCCCAGTTTTCAACCTGAATCAACAACCAAGACCGTGCCTGAGGAGCCCAAGGCAGTAAGTAGTGTAGACTTATATAATACCAAGTACCGACGGTTTCATCTTGCGATTGACAATGTCTCTTGGAGGAGCCAAATGGTCTTGGATTTGAAGATCACCTTCAGAAAATCACATGAATCTTCGAATACCCCAACACCAAATCAGTCTTATACGTTGGACTCCTGACCTAGCTGGAGAAAACGTGTTCTCAACCCCGCCGCTATGCCCACAGGATGGGTCGGCGTCCGACAGCCATGACGGAAATTATTGCATCGTGTATCTGATTCTGGCAGTTTCTGAAATTGCTCGAGCATCGCTATTGCTTATAATTGTAGATGACTGACAATTTCAGGAGGGCAATAGTTCTTTCTTCAGGATTGCTGAGACTGTAAAGCCATTAGCTACATATGATGATTCCAGTGCCATGGTTGCTAGGGATCCACAGCACGTCAGATCTTAACAGCGATGGCAGAATGGAATCTTAGAAAGCAGAAGTACTATCTATATCGTCGCGGCACCACTCATCATCGAGTCAGGATCCGGCATGTCAGCGTATTTGCTAGATAATGGACCTCTGGCAAACCAGACATTCATAAGAAAATCAATGCCAACGGTCCTTCGAGCACCTTCTAGCAGCTCAAAGGATAGATGAGCAATGGCATAACACAAGCTACTTTGACTTCCTCATTGTAATGAAGCATGGCAAGCTAATTGAAGATTAGTGGCAGATGACGTTCCACGACACCGACAGGCACAAAGCAATCGCCTTCTAGATGTCAGGGATGKAATTCTGGAGAAAGGCGAAAGCATTTGGCTAATGTAGACTTGAGTATCGAGTTGAGAAGTTGTGATGTTATTAGTTGTAGGTATGATTAGGAGGTAGATGGTTGAGCGGCCTCCTTGTAGAAATTACCTGAAAAGTAAGGCAGTATTTGCATTGCCACATCTCCAGCCACACCCCGCCAATATTTATCTTCTTCTCGGCAATAGCCTGATTCAGGGAATCCGATGGGCAGCAAGAATTTCAAAAGAGTCCTATTCGTTATAGATGCTTCTATCATCTTTTCATTATTGGTCATGGGCATCCTCAAGGTACCCTGACTGGTAGATCGGTCATCTGAGTACTTGATTCCAAGTATAGGCTCAAGGCCTTCCCGTTGTCTTTTCTTTGTTGACAAGCCACCGCTCGCTTCGAATGCATAAAAGCTGGTCGATGAACGAATCGTGCCATGAGTCAGATACTGTGCGGATCTTGAAAACGTTTTTGAAAACCACCTATTTAAGCCTATTATCTTTTCAGTCTCTTCAATTTCCACATTGCCAGTGGACCCGAAATGTCGCTTCCATCAGGCCGCAGAAAAGGGCCACGGAAACATGCTCGGCGTCGAAAGTCTTGCGTCAAGACTGGATTCGCTTCACCTAGATCACCTCAATCTATTTTAGCCGAAGTCCGAAGGAAAACCTCTTCGAAAGCCCGCAAGGGCGGACTTTTCGGTACGACGAGCAACCTTGATACCAACCCCGCAAGAAATCATGGTAGTCAACAGTCCTTAAAATATTCAAAATTTGTTAGACTTCCTCCTTCGACGGATCCTTTTGAAGAGGTATGATTGTGGTTTTCTTCTTATCACATCGTTGTGTCGCTACAGATCCGACGGCAGGTTCCTAGCTTAGCTTACGGCTCTAGTTCAGCTGACGCTTCGTCCCAACAGAATTGCTTAGATAGGGAGCCCTTGCGGGAGAACTATGTTTTCGTGCCAAAGGGCGATGTTTATATTACGCGGCACTGTCGGACTCAGACCAAAGAGTCGCGCCGGATAGTCTATGTCGTCTATGTAAGGATTGCCCGCGCCTTCGACTTCCATCATCTAACGGACTGCAGAACAATACTGGAAAACGAAATATTGGACTCCGCGTACCCAAAGATGTGTACGCCACTGTTCTCAAATCTGCTGCCGTGACTGCCGATTCGCGTGCTCTTGCTGTCAAAACACGAGACGAAAAGGACCTGTCGCGAGCTCGGCAAATCCTGCGCAACAAGTTCCCACTCATGCCTGCTGAGTCCCTGGATACTATTGTTGATCACGCTTTCCTGAAGCGCTCTGGACGAGTAGGAAGAACGACAAGGAAAACAGACGAACAAAAGGCCAATTTGGCTGTGGAAGCACACATCAGGCACACACATACACCTTACGAATCCCTTCTCGACACGGGAAAAGCACGGCATGAAGCTAGAAAAGCGGTTTGGGATATGGTGCAAGCCGTCAAAACTGCGTGGGAGGGAGGAAACGCTCAGTCTACAGATTCTTTGCCCCTTCGCAGTCATGCTGATGGTCAAAAACCGACAAGACCTGCTGACGACGTGATCTGCATTGATTGACAGCCTGTCGAGTGCGATGATTTATTTCACCTGTTCATAACGACCGTACGATATGAAACTTGATAGAGGGCTTCCTCGACCGGCGACGCGCGATTTTACCCTCATGATGATATGAGAAATGAACGATCTTATGTATCCGAACATGCATAGAGTACGATATAGAATACGCATAGACGGAACAGGGTGTGACGATTCACCGTCATCACAGTCAATGTTTTTAATGCTAATGGTTAAGGTTGTTGTCATTGCAGCCCATTACAATGAATTGCATTTCCTTGCCATAGGGAACTGTGAACAAGAATGAAGTATATCCATCTGTATTACTGTGATGAAAAGATACATTCGACCAGCGCCGCACGCGACCCCAAAATTGCAAACCAAAGCCAAAAGACATACCTTTCCACTGCGATAACCCCAAACAATCCCGACTCCAAACAGTATACGCCAAGTTGTGGTTCGCTATGTCGCTCTGATATCTATTCTGTCTCAGTCAGCCCAGTCCACCAATTCAGCATTCAGTTAAAGACGCAAAGCCAAGAGGGATCATTGCTGAGCAGTTTAAGGCAGCTTATCTTGACGTTGCCCTTCCTCCTGCGAGTCAGAGTCTGTCTCCTCGTACACTTCAACAGTGACAGTGGGAAGCTCATGCGCCCGCTCGACCATGTCACACCAGAACACACGCACCGGACCAAGTTTGTACGGCAGATCGAACGTTCCCCCGAACTCAAGCTGGTCAAACATTAGCATGAGGTGACTCCGAACCTCTTCGAAGAGGTCTACGTCCGTCGGGAAGGGGTTCGTGGTCCCGTCATTCTGGTTGATCAGCTCATAGTGGATGAACAGGCTCTTGCGCCCTGGAATGGGGTGCCTCGGGTTGCGGAACTGTCGCGATTCGAGACGGGCTGTGACGGTGCTGTATGCATCGTCAATGACATCCATCATTTCACCGGGCTGGGTGGTATACTCCATCTGGACGATGATATAGAGGCCCGGTTCGAGGTTGTATGGGTTCGGCCAGTCGATGTAAAGACCGGCATCTTGCATGCGCGCCTGGCGCTCGTCCTGCTCGGTCCACTGTGGGATACCCATGCTGTTAGATTCTGTAAAATTGGCTTTGGATATGGTACTCAACGGCTTGAAAAAGGGTTGATTTCGGGAGATTTGCGCACACTTGGTGAGTTGGTTCAAACTTTTGGGAAATCGAGGCAACGGAGGGAAAATGGAGAGAATAGAGGAGTTCGATGGTTGAATGACCATTCGACTGGTGAGAAGGTGAACAGTTTTATACCTGGAGTTATCAGCATTGCGCCTTGAGCAGAGTGTAAGGCAAAGTGTCTCAATTCCATGATATTTCTGCCTTGGATTCCCTTCTTAGGCCTCGAGGGTCTCATCGCCAACAAAGAGATTCTTTCCAATATGTCTCTATCCTAAAAGAACCATTGTCATGCAAATCATGCCACAAAGACAACACTTCATTACCTTTAGCATATGATACCGTTACGAGAGACGAGGAATCGATTCCATGGAATTGTTGATCTGAATTTCCTTGTCCACTAGCAAGAGTCTCATTCTCGACAAAGGATACTTCCCGAGTGTCTTTATAACTTGAAGAAGCCCTTGTCGTAAGACATATAATAGAAAGCAACACTCGATGTCTTCGTATGGGGTCCAGGGTCTTGATATCATGAAACGTCTATTGTGCTTTCAGTAGGTTAGTCACCACAGTTATCGAACATATTCTCCTTTGTTCGTCCTGGTCTCTTAAGTCTTATAATGTTTCGTACTTGGGTCAAACTGTGAGACCCGAATCCTAGAGCCTCAGAGGGCCTTTGTCCTCGGCTTGTCGGATGTTGGTCTTTGTCTATTGTATTTCTTTGACTTGGCCTGGACACCTGAAATAATATCTTCCCTACGTCCCTGCTCTAACCGCTGCCTTGAATGGGTTCAGTTCTCTACTTGAATGATAGTCAGAATAGCCTCTAGAAGGTTTGACAGAGAATTTACTATGTGTCTGATCGGAAGGCTACAACACATCATATAGATGATCGAACAATCTTCATTGTGCTAACGATTTGACTGTTACAATAGGAAGTGATACTATCCTTTTCAGAAACAAATAATGGCTTGAGCTAGAGTAGACACTGCATACTCTGTAAAAGAATAAGTATACATCGAGATACCGTCTATGGTTGCTATCAGAATCTCCCAAATAGGTAATAGGGCTAGCCCTGGTGGTCTATGCCGCTTTCGGCAAAGGCTATTGCGGAGATTGAAGCAGTTCTCCGACAACAAACTGCAGCTCTAGATCTAGTATCTTCGTGCAGCGATACTCGTATCTCAACAATGGAGGGCGCAGATATTGTCGAGTCGCCGCGCAAGCGTCTCAAGACTGACGATACTCCCGTCTCGGACGATGCTCTGCTGCCTCCTTCCACCGTGCCGGCTCTGGAGATCTCCGACGGGGATGCTCAAGCATTGAAGGAAGCTGAGGTCGGAATCACCGAATTTGTCAGTGCGGACAACGTGGGCTTTTCTGGAGTTCTGAAAAAGAGGTACAACTGAAATCTGAGATACTGCAAATCAAGTTAACCCTCTTTTGTCTCAGATACACCGATTTCCTCGTCAATGAGATTCTTCCGTCCGGTGAAGTTTTGCATCTCCGGAATTTGAATCCTCCCACTTCGTCTGCAGAAGAAAACAAGAACAACAATGCCGAGACCAAGTCGGAGGCTCCTGCAGCGGATAATACTGCAAAGTCAGCCGCCGCAGGAGAGAAAGATGCGCCAGCCGCTAAAGAGGAGCCCCCCGCTGCCGAGTTCCAACTCTCAGAGGAAGACAAGGCATTATTGGAGTCATTCTTTGGCACCGAGGCTACCGAACGAATTTTGGCTCTACATACCCGCGCCCTGTCTAACCCCAGAGCGAGACCGAACGAGTTGGGTCGAGTGAACACGGTTGTTGTCACGGATCGCGACCTGCGCATCAAGATTCACCAGGCAATCCGTCGCATTTTCAATTCGCAACTCGAATCGCAGACTGATAGCGAAGGCATGATGAATATCTCGGCCGCTCCCAACCGGAACAAGCGCAACACCCAAGGTGGACGTGGTTCAGGGCGCGAACGAGGCCGGCTCAACTTCGAGGAGCTGGGAGGCTCCTATCTGCATTTTACGATATACAAGGAGAACAAGGATACCATGGAAGTTATATCTTTCCTGGCGCGTTCAATGAAAATGGCTCCGAGGAGCTTCCAGTTTGCTGGTACTAAGGACCGACGTGGTGTGACCGTGCAGCGAGCATGTGTAAGCCGGGTCTTTGCCGACCGGCTCGCAAAGCTCAATCCTGCTCTTCGCAACTCGGCCGTGGGAGACTATGAGTATTGCCGCCACGGCCTTGAGCTGGGTGATCTGAAGGGTAATGAATTCGTCATCACTCTGCGCGAATGCGCTATTCCTGGCGCGGACCTTCAAGATCGCGAAGGTGCTGTCGCGAAGGCCAGGGAGTTTGCGGGAACTGCATTGCGAAACCTCCGTGAGCGCGGCTACTTCAATTATTACGGACTGCAACGCTTCGGAACCTTTGCGACTCGCACGGATATGGTCGGTGTGAAGATGCTACAGGGTGACTTCAAGGGCGCCTGTGATGCAATCTTGCATTACAGTCCTCATATCCTTGCCGCAGCACAGGAAGGCAACTCGACCTCCATGATCAGCTCAGACGACAAGGCTCGCGCGGAAGCAATCCACATCTTCCAGACTACCGGCAAAGTCACCGAGGCCGTGGAGAAACTACCCCGGAAATTCTCAGCGGAAAACAACCTGATCCGCCACCTGGGCCGCTCCCAGAACGATTATCTCGGAGCTTTGCAAACCATTCCTCGAAACCTACGTCTGATGTACGTGCACGCTTACCAGTCGCTGGTCTGGAACTTCGCCGTCGGCGAGCGCTGGCGGCTTTATGGCGACAAAGTAGTAGAAGGCGACCTCGTCCTTATCCACGAGCACCGCGAAAAGGTCGAAGCAACCGGCCCTGAAGCCGAGGTCGACACCGACGGCGAGGTTGTCGTCAAGCCCGCGGCACACGACAGCGCCTACTCGGCCGAAGACATGTTCGAGCGCGCCCGCGCCCTAACCGCCGAGGAAGCCGCCAGCGGCAGGTACTCCATTTTCGACGTCGTCCTGCCGCTCCCTGGATTCGACGTGGTCTACCCCGCCAACGAGATGACCAACTTCTACAAGCGCTTCATGGGCAGCGAGCAAGGCGGTGGTCTCGATCCCTTCGACATGCGCCGCAAGTGGAAAGATATCAGTCTTAGCGGCGGCTACCGCAAGGTCCTTAGCCGGATGGGTGCAGACTACTCAGTGGATGTGAAACTGTACTCTCAGGACGACGAGCAGTTCGTGCAGACGGATCTGGACAAGCTCAACGGCAAGGAAGCGGCTACTGAGTCTAATGCTGATTCCGCTGACAAGATTGCCGTGATCCTCAAGTTCCAGCTCGGGTCGAGCCAGTATGCCACAATGGCGCTGAGAGAGTTAATGAAGGGCAAGGTGGTGGCTTACAAGCCGGATTTTGGAGGTGGAAGATAAGTCGTCTTGTCCGAATGTGTATATAGGATCCTTAGACAAAATTTTAGATACCACATGAAGGCATAAAAAAGATATGATACGACAATTTCTCATTTCAAACCCCATTCTTTCACTCAATTTGTAGGTACCGCCAAGTATCGCCAGATAGCATCATTCAACAAAGAATTAGGGCAACGCCCAGCCAAACTTCAAAAGATCGTCGCAGACGGTCAAGAACTCGCGCATTATTAAAATCGTCCAATGAACCCAGGCATAACCCATTACGTTTGGCAGCATTATCTGCGCGTCGCGGGTTCGTGGTCACCGATGGAAGATACGGATGAAATATCATCTAGATCACGACTATGCGTGACTCCCCGCCTATCACTCAGACCCGACACCTCGGACATGGCATCATCCAACGGATGGTCA